AAGACCTTTCTTTGGGTACCACAAAATTTGACCTTTTGACCTTGAACTTGGAGTTTGACCCAATTTTACACAAAAATTGCAAACTTTTACTTTGGCCATATCTTTTGAATGGTAGATACTAAGACTTTTATATTTCTCATATGTATTTTTTGAGGCAAGACCTTTCATTTGATACCAACAACCTTGACCTTTTGACCTTGACCTTGTAGATTTTTGTACTTATGAGAAAACTTTAACCTTTACCATAACTTTTGAATAGTAAGGGCTAGGGCTTTCATACTTCATATATATCATTCTTGTGAGAAGACCTTTCATTGAATACCAAGAACTTTGCCCCTTGGACCTTGACCTTCGAGTTTGACCTACTTTTCAAAAACTTGACCTCGGCCACAAATTTTGAACAGTAGATACCAGGACTTTCATATTTATCATATGTATTCTTTGTGGAAAGACCTTTCATTTGATACCAACAACCTTGATCTTTTGACCTTGACCTTGTAGATTTTTTGTACTTATGAGAAATCTTTAACCTTGACCATAACTTTTGAATGGTAAGGGCTAGGGCTTTCATACTTCACATATGTAATCCTTTTGATTGAATAACAAGAACTTTAACCCTTTGACCTTGACCTTGGAGTTCAGTGGTAATTTCTAAGTAGATGACATGATAGGGCGTTCATATTAGTCACAAAATGTCATTAAAAAAATGACATCTCACCTAAAAAGACACCGAAAGCGGGGGACCACAATTCTTTGAATTTGCTTGTATGTATTTAATATCTCATGTTAGAGGTACATATTCTTTAGATTAATTATCTTAAAGTTTTAAAGTCGATGTTCTAAATGGGACTTACTTTATAAATGATAGGATGTTACATCTGTATGATTTCACCATAGGTATTTACAAATTAAAATAATCCATCTTTCTTTGATACTATTGAGTTGAATTTTTTAAATTGACATCTTAAAGATGAGTATTTTTCGAAGTACTTTGCATATTTTCCGTACTTGTCGTGGTTTTGTCGAAATGTAGCGCCGAAAAATAAAAATGCTGCATAAAGAAATCATGCCAAAAGACAGGATAAAAAGTATTGTTAATCTTTTAAAATGGTAAATTGTTACTACTGAAAAGAAAATTCTTTTACTTTTACGGTCGGATATATCTTTCATGATGCTAGATTCACAAAGTAACCCTAACAAAATACCAACATGAAAAGCAGTCAAACAAATGAGAAATACTATTATCATCTTGCGCTTTTTAGAACATAACCTACTTATTCAGCCAATCAAATGCTTCCATTTCTCGCGAAGAATTGATTCTTCATGGTGAAGAATTCTTCAATTTTTGAAAAATTCAACGTTATCTGATTGGTTCACTTGACAGTTATATGGGTGTCTTCATTGGCCTTTGTTCAGCACACAAAAAGAAACTATTCAAAACCCACGTGCTGTTTACAATGATATTTTTAAAACTTTCTAGGCCTTGCTACACTTTTTCCCTTGTAATCTTTTGTCGTCTTTTTGAATATTATTTTTTTTCACATTTCGGTACATACAGAAAATACAACCATCGTCATGTATATCAGAGACGAACCTTGTCTTTGAAGACAGATTTAATCACAATTTTCATCAAATTTTTGTTTGATATTAGACAGCGATACCCACTCCTGCTGACTAGGGCCTTGTCATCTTAACACAATCATTTTTCAATAATATAGATATTACGGGTATTCGTTAGTTCAGTAACTTAAGGTTTCGTCAAAGGTGAACATGTCCAAAAATTTACTTTTACAATAGCCTCAAATCTATGTGAGGTATAAAGTTAAAACTTTTACAGTTTATAAATTTTTCATTGATTAACAGATAGAAAGTATCACTTGATAAAACAATACTTGGAACAATATTAATTGAGAAAAATTCTTTTTAAAAATCCATATATTTTCAAAAAAATACATCTAATTTTAAAATTCCATGCTCTTAGTGAAAACCATCATTGCAGAAACAAAATATGTTTGTCAAAGAAGGGCAAGTTGGGATTGGATTGTTTTCCCTGTTTATTTTGTCCAAATGTTAAGACTTGAAAGTGAAAGTACTTTGCAAATGGCGGATTCTATAGGGGTCTTGTCTTTATACATGTAATGCTTTCAATAACAGCCTTTCAGAGACCATTTACGTCCAACTTTCCCTTCAATGATAAACATATATAATTTCTACAATGTTGGTTTTCACAAAAAGGATAGAATTAAGCAGGTGTATTTTTCTTTAAATATGCAGATTTTCTGATACAATTTTCTAAAAAAAAAATATCGTTTTTAAAATATTTGTTATCAAGTAATACTTTCTATCTATTAATCAATGGTATATTTATAAACTGTAAACGTTTTGACTTTATACCACACATAGTTTTGGAGCTATTGTAAAAATATTTTTTTAAATATATTGACCTTTGACGAAACCTTAAAGTTATTATTTTCTCTTTAATATTACGATTTATGTATTTTAATAACATTTCGCACAAAAATTAATTAAAAATCTTATTTCATATAAAAGATATTAAAATGTCAAATTTTTTGGCGGGTTTGATTGACACATCCTTGCTCTTTCACGAACTAATTCTATTCTTAAAGTGGCAATATGGCGCATCTCTTCAAAAACAGACTTGTTAAAATTTTCCTGTAGGATTTTGAATTTTTTTCATACTCATAAATATATACACTTTCAGAAAATTACAAATTTCATAAGTAAATAATTCTGATTATTTCATTAAAATTAGTAATTATTTATGGCCCATAAATATAAACATCGCAACGTGCTCGAGGTTTCACATTCCATGCTATTCACGCATGCGTATAGTTTTCATAAACAAAACAGCATGGTAAGAGAGGGAAGCCCGGTAGGCCTGCTACATTGACAAAGTCGACCAAAACGAAAAACAAAACCAAAAATAGGGCTTGAAATTAAAAAGCAACTTTCCTGACAAAAATTTAGTTGTGAGATTAATATAATCATTGGATGAAGAAGAAACGGGATCTCCGCGACATTCACGTGGGGCTCGCGAAGGTTCTACCCTACAAGTTTGTTGATACATGCTATTATTTCTTGTATCTCCATGGCTTTCAAAGAAAAAAAAATCAGTGTAAACTCAACGTAAAAATGCACTTATGACATATAAAAATTATTGCCATTTGGAAAGCAAATTGTATTGGAATTGCAGAAAGATATTTTGTTTGACATTTTGCCGCGATGACGTATAATTTAGTGGATTTTCCTTTCCTGCACCCCAATACACAAAACGTCAACATTTGTACTTAATCATGTTAAATTCGTCTGAATGAAGACTAATATGTTAACAATTATTAATTTACCGGAGAGTTAAGATATTTTGATTTTCAGAATTGCTTTTACTTAATATTCCATTATAATTGTAAACCCTACATTGTATGCACGTGCCATTTTAGAATTCACGTGGTACAAATAAACAGAACTAAGTTGTACGACCCTTGATTTTCCGGCAGATTTTAATTACGTTAATTTTACATGAGGAGAGAATATTTATTTTTCTCAAATGCTTACTTCAACTTTTTACCTTATTCCTGAATGTTATATTGGGTAAATTTGAATGAAAATGCACACGATTTGCAGCCGTATTGCCGCTTTAATCCTTAGGGAAAGTGGCAATCTCGTTGTGTATAAATGAAAAATATTAATACTATAATCCTGAAAATTCAGAGTAGATATGTTCGAAAGCAAAACAAACACAATATATTGTCAGTCCGTGCAGTTGTGGTAAGCAGACTGTGTCGATTGAACGCACCCAGTGAATTGTAAACATCAACAATAACAGAACTCGTGCCCTTGTACATAACACGAGTGTGCTCGATTTTCTAAACTCTGTACGCAACTCTTAGTTCGGAATGACGATACTTGTGAAGGAATTTTGCTTTCTAACATTTCTACTCTGAATAAAATTATCTTTCTGGATAAAAGTTTTCATATTTCTCATTAATACACAACAAGATTGCAACTTTTCCTAAGGATTAAGAATAAGGTTAAAATTTGTGAAAGTGCAAGGATATGTCAATCAAACCCGCCAAAACATTTGAAGTTTTAATAACTTTTAAATGAAATAAGATTTTTAATTAATTTTTGTGTGAAATGCTATTAAAATATGTAAGTCGTAATATTACAGAGAAAATATTGACTTCAAATCTGTGTCCAAGTACCTCTTCACCATACCATTCCCCCAGTAAATCAAGCTATTTCAAATAATCCCGTGCTAACCTGAATGGTTGGACAGTCCATTCTGAAACCGCATGTGTTCGATATTGATTGCGTGCTCGATATGTATAATGAGCGGTCAAGTTGAGCCATATATATGACACAGCTGTGGGAGGAGTTTATTTTCAATCCATTCATTTGATTGGCTGAGGTTCTGTTCTAAGTCAGTAAGAACATATGAAGAGAAATCTTCGTCAAGAAGAATGGGCGCCGGTCCGCCCATTCTTCATGACGAAGATTTCTCTTCATATGATCTTACTATTACATAGAGTCATGTTATTGTACAAAAAAAACAACAAAAGTTATATGCTTTGCTCTGTTTTTGAGTCAATGCAAGGCAAAGAACTGCTTTACAAAGAACGAGAACATAGTTGGCTTCATTTGACGAGAAACCACGAAAAACCATTTGTGAACTATCACAATCAATCAGCCAAGAGAATATCAAAATCCTACTAATAATTATCTGTGAATTATATCTTAAATTAGTGAAATAAACTTAAAAGTAAGTTAGAAATCACTTATAAAATATATTTGTTGCCTCGTTACACAATTTTGATTAAAATCAATGTGACTTTAATTTGTGCGAAAAACCATGTGAGCTTAAAAAGTGCGTTGAGCTGTATATTGTAAATAGTCTTTCAATTTGGTTAAAAATTTCCGTATTTCTATTATATATTATGTGTTTTTCCTGTTGGAAAATTGTGATCTTTGGCTTGTTTGTCAACAATAACGAGGTCTGTCCGTCATGGCAGCGAGTACCTACCACTCACACAATAGGAGTGTTATACGCCGAGCACGTGCGGGGGATTTATTAGAATTCAACCGTGGATGGTACTCCCATTGGGCTGTCTATATTGGTAAAGGTTTTCTTTACATATATTGATTAATTAACTTAATTAGAAATCTAATACGAGTCTGTGATTAGATGAAAAAAAATGTTTTAAAGAAAAATGTGTTCGACTATGGTTACAAATGAAAATTTCGAGGAATTAGATTAAAATCTACAAAACTTTATTACCTAATAATTTAATATTTTTAGGTAACGAGGAGGTGGTACATCTTGGTGGTATCGATAATGACGGAATCAATGGTACCTTGAAGTCCAATCACGTGTTCACGATCTGCGGGAAAACGTTTAACAAAGCCGTTGTAAAGAAAGAAAACTTCTGGAAAGTGGTTTTTGACTCCAAAGTCGAAATCAACAACACTAAAGACAAGAAATGCAGGTATGTTTTTCTATAAATTGAATTTCACGATTTTAAGCTTTTTGCTTTTTGGGGGGTTAGGAAGAAAACATGATTTCTTTTTCATTGAAGACCCAAACCAGCCCACGAGATTGTAAGAGAAGCGCTGAGTAAGCTCGGGGAGATAGGATACAATGTTCTCTGGAATAATTGTGAACATTTCGCAGCTTTCTGTAGATATGGCGTCAACTGGTCAGAACAGGTCAGTTGTATTTAATTTTAAGGTTAGAGCTTTTGTACATTTTTACTTGAATTTGGATCCACCACCTCAGTTTTGATTCATCATCTGAAAATACATATATAATAAGTTTTACCAGCAAGCTGAAAAAAAATCGCAAATAAATCGTCAAGAAAAGATTCTCTGAGTTTGTCAGAAAGGCTTGACAGGACGTGATTGCTAGTCTACAAAACTGTACCACATTGGAAATGGGTGCTTTTTGGTTCTTTGATCTTTTAACATTAAAATATTGTCCATTTCAATTTTTAAATAACAGGGTACAACAAATTGCTCAAGCACAGCACAGTGGTCATTGCCACTAATAATAAAATGATTTAGCAAATAAACCAATGGCTCTAAAATCTACTTTGTTGTTCTATAATAACTTGTAATTGTGTCATTTAACTCAAATGATTCGGGTATGCTTACATCTTCATGACATCTGATCACATACCTCAGGTTTTAAGAGTCTGTGTTTCTTTTCTTACAATTGCTATTGTTTCTTTCGATAATTGACTTTGATTACTGTCAATCTTCTTTTTCACAAGTAAAAGAAAAAAGGGTGTGGGTTTTTTTTTTTTTTTTTTTTTTTTTTTTGCAAGATTATTCAAACGTCTCTTCTGATAAAATTAAAATTTTGACTGAAATACTATATGATTTTTTCTTCCATCGCAGGCGAACAAAGCCCTGACGGGGATCGCGGCGGTCGGGGCGACTGTCGTGGTAGGGGGGATAATCAGAGAGCTGTGTAAAGGGAGGAAAGAAAAGACCCGAAAACATCTAGATTTCTGATGCTCAAATATTAAGGAATTTATTATTGTACGTGTTCTTGACTGTTAATAATCAGAGTGTCATTAAACATGATTTTTCCCTGGCAAAGGTTCAAAATAGCAGATTTATTTATTTTTTTTTTTTTTTAATTTCTGAGTTTGTTATACGAAGAGAAAAAGTGGAGGAAAAATTAATTTTAGGATGTTCGTACATATTAAACAGTTTCCGTATATATTCTGGAGCATACTAGTATACAAATTAGTCTTTAAATTTTTGAATTATACTGCACTATTGTTTGTAGTAGTAATATCTATAAAATACAGTACACGAATACAAAAAGATTTATGATATGCGTTTACTTTTCAAGAGCAAGTAAAATTGAACTTTTGTATAAAATTCGCCAAAAATAGTCTTGTATCTCGGTACAGCCAGTTTATGTCAGTCATTTCAAAAATAAAATATAAAAATCCATTTTAAAAAAAAAAAACTAAAATAAGATATCGTTCTTGATTGTTGATAAATACATGTGCTTATAATAATATTTACACATACTCTTTTTCTGAATCAAATCTGTATGAATATCAGCCAAATCTATATTTTTTT